GTGGTCAGCTATATGAGGTGGTGTAGTCAGCTATAAGAGGTGGTGTGTTCATCTCTGTCCACTAGCACAAGAATTCAAGGCAAGGCAAACAGACAAATACTTGTGATGTCCAGGAGCCTACAAAGCTCTCTCGCTCACCTTATAATAAATGAGGGAAATATAAAATATCTAGTCACTACCTAATATATTTACCTCAATATAGAATAGACTGATTATGACACAAGTGCCCTAAAAGTTTAAAAAAAAATAAAACACCATCATAATTTTTTTTAAAGGAAAGAGAATGCAAAGTTCGGGGACGTCTCTTCAATACTCTTTTGGAAGATTTAAGAAAGTTTTGTTTTACAAACTAAAAACAATTTTTGTTTTGAAAGGTGGAAAGATGTGGGGGAGGGGGGAAGGGGGAGATGGGATCTGTAAGGACAAAAACAACAGCCTACGTGATACATTTTGTTGTACAACAACAACAAAATTACGTTGTTTTTAACGGCTTGTGGGTTTTAGAAAGCTGATGAACGCTCACTTCCATGTTGATTATGCAAATTGCCATCTAGCAAAGGGAAGCTATGAAAAATGTATTGTCTGGCAGAGTTACGCGAGTTGTAAGCGCCTGTTTTTAAACGCGATTGATTACACACCACTTCTTCAAGCTGGAATCTAGACAAAAGACCTTCCAAACATTTTTTTTGTTACATTGCACCCCCCCTCGCCCCCCACTAACATTTTCTCCTTTCTGAATTCTTAACCTAACTCAGATGCCAAAACTATTGAGTATAAATTCATGAGTCTTTTGTCTGAGTAGCGCACATAACCCAGGCGGGTCGCCAGTATCTGAATAGAGAGTTGAAACATAATTTTGGCATGATGCCTGAATGGCGAAGTATCGTCCTAGTATGCGGGGGGGGGGGGGGGAATACCATTTCGGTACTGTATACAATTCCCGTAGGAAATTTGGATAGAGGGATCGAATCCTGGTGTGTATGACAGTACGATTACTTTCAGCTGATCAGATGACCTTTGACCTAACGACCTTTGTACAGCCACACCAACGTGTGAGGGTTCTGTGTACTTAGAGATCAGTAATACCAACACATAGTTAGTGGTTGACAAGGATATACGCATGGGCATATTAGACTTGGGGCTGAGTAAGGGCAGATTTGGCTCCTGGCTGAGCAAGGGCAGATTAGGCTCCTAGCTGAGCAAGGGCAGATTAGGCTCCTGGCTGGGCAAGGGCATATTAGGCTCCTGGCTGAACAAGGGCAGATTAGGCACCTGGCTGAGCAAGGGCAGATTAGGCTCTTAGCTGAGCAAGGGCAGAGTAGGCTCTTAGCTGAGCAAGGGCAGATTAGGCTCCTGGCTGGGCAAGGGCAGAGTAAGCTGAAGATAGAGCTCATGGACTTTAACAGTTAGTTTAATCTAGAGCATCTGTCTAAAAAGTACCCGGTGCCCCTTTAACTAATACATCCCTTTACTATTTATCTTGTTATAGCTATTTAAACATTTCTAAAATCTTATCCCCCCCACCCCAATGCAGCCCGATCAGCCACCCCCCTTACCAATTAATATGCCATTTTCGAGACTTCACATAACAGGAATGTAATTATCAATGTCTTAACAGGCATAAACAGTCACGGAATGAAAAGTGAAGTAAATATTACACCGTCGGAATTAAATTTTATACAGTCTAATGAATGAACAATTTAGGATCTTCATTGCCTTCGAAAATTATAATAAGATCATTCAAGCGAATCACTAGTTAAATTAAAATGTACGAGTTATAATTTATCTCCCAAGTACAATTACTTGCATATTTAAAGCTTAATAATGTGGGTAATGCCTCCGTTTAAAATTTTTTTCCCCACATAGAATCATGTTAACTTTTATTGTGTTTTAAAAATAGAATAATTAGTTTGACTAAGATTGTGATCTATGAGCAACACACAATTTTCTATGACATAATTGATATTGATATGCTGTGTATACTACGCTCAACACACCCACTCTGCAGCGCTGTGAACACCCCCCCCTCCGATCGTCCCCCCTCACGAACACCCTCCACGAAAACCCCATGAAAACCCCAAGAACACCCTAAGAACACCCCACGAACACCCCCACGAACACTCCCTCTCACATACACTCGTGCGATAACGTTTTGTTTAAGATAACCACTTGAGCTAAACACGAGTTATCCCCCCACATCTATAATACCATACCAAGGGAGATCAGTAGCCAAATGTAACTACACTTACATTAGCTCGGGGGAAGTGTTGACATTTCTGTGGGCTTGGATGTGGAGAGAAGGGGAAGGAGGAGGGAGAAGACAACAAAGTACTCATGGAGTCTCTCAATTCAATGCGAAGGTACAGCACACATTTTGGTTGAAATATCAACAAGACCTTAGTGGGGAACAAAAAAACTTAGGACTAAATCGGAGCTTGTCACATGACCATATTTTCTCAGGGCGGACCGCAGGAGGGGTGGGCTGGGGCGGAAGGTGTGTGTGGGTAGCGGGGAGGGAAGGCAATCTATTCGTCATGACTAAAACAAACTAACAATCGTTAGAAAACGTAAATAAGCTTGAAATACAAAACATTATTTGTACAAGTTGTAAGTATTTCTAACAACCAGTCTGTAGATCATATAGTATTACCAGTCAACAAAAGAAGAAAACAGCTAAGGGTTGGAAAACAAAAACGGCTTTTCATTTAAAAAATGTAAAGAAAAATCATACATTGATCAATGATTAAAAATTAAATAATATCACCGTATCTTACACAAAGCAAGTGAGTATGTTTTGTTTAGTTCGTGGAAGACTACGCTAAGGATGACGTGCGGAATAATTTGATAAAACGGGCTCCCATACTTTACAGTGGCATTTCTATGGCACTCCGTGTAATCATTTATACACATTTATTTTTGTATGAGGATAAAAACAATTGGCGAGGTAAGCGTCAAATTCAAGCTACATTAAAATTAACAGTAGCTCCAGTAACATCGACAGAAATATGTATCGTATAAACATGTATGGTACATATATACATACAATAATTAAAACACCAAAGCAAATTAAACGTTAACATATCTAACAAATGAAATGACATGGCATTAGGCTTGCAAAAAACGATAGGTTCAATAACTTTAAATTCCGCATCAACACAAATCGAGTTACCTTCAAGCATCTCTTCGGGGATGAAAGGGGTGGGGGACTAAGGAGAGAGGCCTTTCGAAGAAAGACTACCGTAACACTTTCCGGAATTTTTAAGTGCGCCCCACCAGGAAGCCTTAAGTACAATCCAGCCCCTCACCCACCCCCGGAATAAAACATGTGAAAGAAACCCTGGATATTATCACTCGGAGACTTGAAGCCCCGACCCTGAGGCATTAACCCTGTGTAAAAAGTTCGACCCCATTCGTGTATCATACCCCATCAGAGATATCAAAGACATTAACCACGCCCCGAGATGTTAAACTCCGCCCAAAGATGTTTACATGTAAGCGTCCCCACCAACTCCCCCAACCTTCTTGTTGAATTTAAATAACAGAATTACAACCAATTCGCTAATTTGCAATTATCATGTGATGCGATTGTTTATAAACATTTGGAAAACCTCGGTAATAAAGTGTCAACATGTGATAGTGCTACAGGTAGCAATGGCTACAACCACAGATCATCAACAGGTGATGGTAGCAATAGCAACAATCACTAGGTGGTGTAGCAATGGCTACAGCCACATATCATCAACAAGTGATGGTAGAAATGGCTACAACCACGGATCATCAACAGGTGATGGTAGCAATAGCTACAATCACTACTTTGTGTAGCAATGTCTACAGCCACCCACTTGATGGTAGCAATAGCTACAGTCACAATATGATGGTAGCAATAGCTACAGTCACAATGTGATGGTAGGAATAGCTACATTCACAAGATGATGGTAGAAATAGCTACAGTCCCTGTTGTAAGTAGCAATAACTCCATTCACAATGTGATGGTATCAATAGCTAAAGTCGTACATGTGCGAGGTTATTCACGAAGATAAGTTGAAGCACACTTTTACTAAACAGCCAGCATTATAAAACCATTTATTAAACAAAAACTTGCATTAAGTATTGTTTATAAAAAGCTGCTTCAATAAAAACCATCATTACAAACAACCTCTTTAAATAGACATCGATTTAATTAGTTTGTATCTTCATTAACCTCATTAGATTAGAAATAAAATAGCATGGTTACTTTAAAGCCGCAAGCCTTGTAGTTAAATTGCTAATTGAAATGTAAGGAAGTTTGTGCATTCGCTATTTCACAAGGAATCCGGTGACTAGCCGTACCATATACAAAAACCTAACCATACACACGGTATCATGATCATTATAAAACACACGAGTCAATATTAAAAAGAAATGGGATGAAATTAAGTAACAAGCACTTCAGTATTTGCTGTAATCAAAATAAAGTGGTAGAATTATTCAAGGCGAAAATCAGGCAGAAGGCAAAAAATAGATTTATAAAATACAGGCGTATGGGCGAGAGAAGTGGCTAAAATGTTTGAATGGGGGGGGGGGGGGAAATTGAGTTTGATGTTCTTAATATTTATGTGCGGGTGTGTGTGGGATGATGCCTTTGATGTTTACGTTTGTGTATGTGTGGGGGTGAGTGGGGTGGAGTGGGGTGGGGGGGGGTTGAAGTATGGATATAAAAGCTGGATGTCCTTAATGTTTACGTTTGTGAGTGTGGTGTGTAGGTGTGTTGAAGTGGGGGACCTCTGGGCATGACGCCCTTAATGTTTACGTGTGGGGGGTGTGGGTGTGTGTGAAGTGGGGGGTGTGGTAGTGTGAAGTGGGGAACCTCTGGGCATGACGACCTCAATGTTTACGTGTGGGGGGTGTAAAGTTGGGCCCGTAGAGTACGATGACCTTAATGTTTGCGTGTGGGGGGGGGGGGGGTGTGAAATTGGGCCCGTAGAGTACGATGACCTTAATGTTTACGTGTGTGGGGGGGGTGTGAAGTTGGGCCCGTAGAGTACGATGACCTCAATGTTTACGTGTGGGGGGTGTGAAGTTGGGCCCGTAGAGTACGATGACCTCAATGTTTACGTGTGGGGGGTGTGAAGTTGGGCCCGTAGAGTTCCTCCGTGGGCTCCTGCAGGATGATGTCCATCATGGATGACGTGTCGCAGAACTTGGCCAGGGGCACGTACCGCGTCTTGACCATGCCGTTACCCTGTTTGCTGTCCTCGCCCGCGCTGGATGCGATGGCGGCGGCGGCCCCGTTGGTGGATCCGTTGGTGGCCCCGTTGGTGTTGGCCGAGGTCAGGGTCTGCATCTTGAGCAGCACCGCCCCGTAGTCGGGGTGCTGGGGCGGGGAGAACGTGTCCGTCTCCTCCTCGTCCTCGCTCTCGGCGTCCTCCTGGAATGTCTTGACCCTCGGCGACAGCGACCTTGACCTGACGTGCTCGTAGAAGAGCGTGAAGTTGTTGGAGATGACGGGGAAGGTCAGCGCCACCAGCAGCACACCGCACACGGCGCAGGCGGTGCCCACGATGTACCCGATCGGCGACGACGGCGTGATGTCGCCGTAGCCCACCGTTGTCATGGTGATGATGGCCCACCAGAACCCGATAGGAATGGTCGTGAATTTAGTCCCCCCGCCGTTGATGGCATCGCGCTCGGCGTAGTAGATCATCGTGGCGAAGATGAGCGTTGCCAGCAGAAGAAATATAAACAGCATCATGAGTTCCTGAAGACTCGCCCGCAGCGCGTACACCAGCACTTTGAGCGCCTGGTAGTGCTTGACGAGGTGGAAGATGCGGAACATTCGGAAGATCCTCAGCGTGAACATAATCTCGAAGACAAAGCGCTCGTTGAGGTAGCAAGACTCGTGAAGCTCCGAGTGCTCGAAGATGACCTGCACGTAGAGCGGCACCAGCGCGAGCAGGTCGATGATGTTCATGATGTTCCGGATGAACTTGAACTTGCCGGGCGAGACGACGAAGCGGAGTACGAGCTCGAGGGAGAAGAAGATGGTGCAGATGAAGTCCAGGACGTTGAGGGCGTCGTTGGATTTGAGCGCCACGTGGACCGTTTTGTTGTCGTTGCCGTAGCTGCAGGTGGCGTTGGTGATGTTGGTCTGGGTGGGCCTGAGGTCGGGGAGCGTCTCTAGACAAAAGCCGGCGATGGAGGTCGCGACAAACAGGAAGGATGTGATGCCGTACAGCTGTGGAGGAAATCAAAAACACTTTCTGGTCAATTCAGTTTTACCATCAAACAAAAATCAAAAACCCTTTCTGGTGAAATCAGTTTTACCATCAAAGAAAAACCAAAAACCCTTTCTGGTGAAATCAGTTTTACCATCAAAGAAAAACCAAAAACCCTTTCTGGTGAAATCAGTTTTACCATCAAAGAAAAATGAAAAAAAAAAAACCCTTTCTGGTGAAATCAGTTTTACCATCAAAGAAAAATTAAAAAAAAAACAACATTTTCATTAATCAAGTATTAGCATCATACAGGGAGGAAATCAAAATCCTTTCTGATGATCAAATTTTAACAGTAAAGTTTGTGACTTAAATATTTGATATGCGTACCACACCGGTTGGTGGAATTGGAGCTAAGTTGACTGCTAGAGTGGCTAACCTAACCTTAACCCTGTCTAGAACTGTAGCTCTGAGTTTAACAATGTCTCTAGATTTATCCTTAACCCTAATACTAAACCTGCTCCCAATACCAGTAAAACAAAACCATTTAAATTATACCACATCATAATTACACCCAACGTTTAATTACCGAGTATTTTGCTTATCGCTAAATCTTCGCCGTGGTCAAAGGAAAATTAGCACACACACACAAAATGAGGAAATGCAATTTTTATAACACTACCACAAATGCCATGGCTTAATTAAAATTCGTTTCACCCAATTTAAATGAAAATATGCGCAAGTAACTCTAAAAGGAAATAATTAACTGAATAAATTTTAAATTCTTGTTGAATTTTTTAAATGTAAAAGCACAATTTGAAAAAAGAATTTTTCTCTGTCCACATAGTATTGTAACCAGTTTTTGGCACTCAGAATGTCGTTTGATTGCTGATCGTTTCCCTTGAGAAGAATTGCGGCAGCCCAACACCAATTCTGAAACATGTGAATGCCCATCAAAGACTATAGGCGCCGGAATACCGGCTAGAGAAAAAAATCTCCGGCATTCCGCCACCGGCAAGATTTTATTCAGTATTCGACTATCTTGGAGCGACAGGACTCTATTCGATTATCTTCGGACCGACAAGCTTTATTCCGTATTCGACTATCTTCGAGGATATTTCTTGTCTATTAGACAGGATCGTAATCTTTAGAAAACGCCAGCATCGATTCTAGTAGGAAATTTAAATTTGTCAAGGATTTTCTGAAAAAAGTCCTATAGTCCCCGTCTAGCTAGGGGTGTTTTGGAAAATTAAAAAAAACTGAAGAGAATGATGAATAAATAATTACCCATGATTCAATTGCAACTTTATAAAAATATGAATGGAAAATTATAATATGTGTTAAATTTAAATAAATGGTTTTATTAAGAATTTCACATTTGTTTTTGAAAAAGAAAACATGTAAATTTAATAGCAATGCCATTTTGCTTCCGAATAAAAGAACAATCAAGTTTCAAAATACCAATTATTATTATTAAAAAGTATTAACTAAATTTTGTATATTGAAAAACGTTATAAAATGTTATATAAGAAGCGAATAAAACCATACAAAATGTAACCTTCATAAAACATTCTATAAATGAACCCAACTGCACTCCATTAAACATGTTAAAAACGAACCCAATAGCACCACACAAAACAAGTTAAAAATGAACCCAACTGCACCCCATAAAACACGTTCTAAACGAACCGAACTGCACCCCATAAAACATGTTCTAAACGAACCGAACTGCACCCCATAAAACACGTTCTAAACGAACCGAACTGCACCCCATAAAACACGTTCTAAACGAACCGAACTGCACCCCGTAAAACAAGTTAAAAATGAACCCAATTGCACCCCATAAAACACGTTCTAAACTAACCCAACAGCACCCCATAAAACATGTTCTAAACCAACCCAACAGCGCACCATAAAACATGTTCTAAACCAACCCAACAGCGCCCCATAAAACACGTTCTAAACGAACCCACCATGGCTAGCCTAGATGTCCTGGGGTGGTCCATGATGAGCCAGAGCTTCATCTGCACGTGTCTCCAGCCCTTGAGGTTGCTGAGGTCCACCTTCATCTGCTCGTGCTCCAGACTTTTGTTGAAGGAGTTGAGGATTCTTTGGTTCTCGATGTACGATCTGTAGTGGCGCCAGCAGCAGGCCTGGGGGAGAGATACGTGAGAGATTGTTGGAGGTTGTGACCCGTGGGTGTTGACCTGGGTCACAGGGGAAATGACCCGGGTACATGGGTCATGGGGAAATGACCCGTGTACATGGGTCATGGGGAAATGACCCGTGTACATGGGTCATGGGGAAATGACCCGCGTACACGGGTCATGGGGAAATGACCCGCGTACATGGGTCATGGGGAAATGACCCGTGTACATGGGTCATGGGGAAATGACCCGTGTACATGGGTCATGGGGAAATGACCCGTGTACATGGGTCATGGGGAAATGACCCGTGTACATGGGTCATGGGGAAATGACCCGTGTACATGGGTCATGGGGAAATGACCCGTGTACATGGGTCATGGGGAAATGACCCGTGTACATGGGTCATGGGGAAATGACCCGTGTACATGGGTCATTTCCCCATGATCCGTGCTCGTTGGAAAGGAACATGGGAGTAATGCCAGTAGTATTTAGGAAATAACCCACCCCTAGTCTATCCAAATTGGAAATGGGAAAATGATTCACGTGCTAACATGGGGGCTTGCAGAATTGACCCACTTCCCGACGAGGGTTGCAGAAAAAACCCGAAATGCCGACATGCAGTAAAGACCTTTTTGTTGACGCCGGGGTTTTTAGGAATGACCCACGTCCCTACGTAGGCTTGTAGAAAATACCCAAGCTTTGACACCGGGGGCTTCTAGAAATGACCCACGTACGAGACAGTGATGGGACTGAGTTAGAACATAACTAAGCGCAAAAGTGACGTCATGTGGTTTTCCACCGCCCCAGGCCAGGCCGTCATTTTCTTTTCACATGAATATATTTCACGGCTAGTTAAGTAGCCGAATACATTAATTACTGAAAGTCTACTTGCTTCAGACAACAACCCCTCATTCCCCACTGGCATTCGAATCGTCTCCCTTGTTCCCCACTCTCTTTAGATCGTCTCCCTTATTCCTAACTTTATTTTGCTGCTTACACTGTTGTCCACTCTCTTCAAATAATCTCCCTTGTTCCCCACTCTCTTCAAATAATCTCCCTTGTTCCCCTCTCTCTTCAAATAATCTCCCTTGTTCCCCTCTCTCTTCAAATAATCTCCCTTGTTCCCCTCTCTCTTCAAATAATCTCCCTTGTTCCCCTCTCTCTTCAAATAATCTCCCTTGTTCCCTATTCTCTTCAAATAATCTCCCTTGTTCCCTATTAACTTCAAATAATCTCCCTTGTTCCCCTCTCTCTTTAAATAATCTCCCTTGTTCCCTATTATCTTCAAATAATCTACCTTGTTCCCTATTATCTTCAAATAATCTCCCTTGTTCCCCCCTCTCTTCAAATAATCTCCCTTGTTCCCTATTATCTTCAAATAATCTACCTTGTTCCCTATTAACTTCAAATAATCTCCCTTGTTCCCCTCTCTCTTCAAATAATCTCCCTTGTTCCCTATTATCTTCAAATAATCTACCTTGTTCCCTATTATCTTCAAATAATCTCCCTTGTTCCCCCCTCTCTTCAAATAATCTCCCTTGTTCCCTATTATCTTCAAATAATCTACCTTGTTCCCTATTATCTTCAAATAATCTACCTTGTTCCCTATTCTCTTCAAATAATCTACCTTGTTCCATATTCTCTTCAGATCATCTCCCTTGTTCCCCATCCTCTTCAAATAATCTCCCTTGTTCCCCTGTCTCTTCAGATCGTCTCCCTTGTTCCCCATTCTCTTCAAATAATCTCCCTTGTTCCCATGTCTCTTCAGATCGTCTCCCTTGTTCTCCATTCTCTTTAAATAATCTACCTTGTTCCCTACTCTTTAGATCGTCTCCCTTGTTCCCCATTCTCTTCAAATAATCTCCCTTGTTCCCATGTCTCTTCAGATCGTCTCCCTTGTTCCCCATTCTCTTTAAATAATCTACCTTGTTCCCTACTCTTTAGATCGTCTCCAGAGGCGTATCCAGGTTTTCGTTGTAGGGGGAGCGAAAAGAGCAAAAAAGGCGCCGAATTTTTAACACGTTCTATATACGTGTATTATATATATATATATATATATATATATATATATATATATATATATATATATATATATATATATATATATATATATATATATATATATATATATATATATATATATATATATATGATGTAAAATAAATTGAAAGTAGCACTCTAAAGAAATAAGAAAAAACACACAATGTAGGCCGACAAAACAAAAATTGTATCAATGTAAAAAAAAAAAAAAAAATAAATTAAAAAAAAAATATATATATATATATATATATATATATATATATATATATATATATATCTATATATATATATATATCTATCTATATATATATATATATATATATATATATATATATATATATATATATATATATATATATATATATATATATATATATATATATATATTTATATAAATATATACACACACACTACAACCAAAAACAATGAACGCGACACAATCTGTTTTGTAATTCTTGTAAAAAAAAAATTCTTACATAATGATTCCTGGGAAATTATTTAAGACAAGTGAAATAGGGGAAATAATCACTCTCTTAATATAAATATGTATATAACTACACATTTAATTAAAAATGTCAAAACAAATAAATATTTACTTTAGAATATAATGAAACTGTTTAACACTATTCGTATTTACAAATTTCTTTTGTCTATAATCATAATTTAATATATCGTTATCATAAATGCTAAAGTATTACAGCATAATGAAAGTTTTTAAAATCAGAGTTTGTATAAAACCACGCTCTTCGATATAATAGAAAAACACTCGGATTAACAGCCTACATTTAACTGAATATACGTCTTTTTAGTTCAGATCATATATTTTTAATTAAATACTGCTTCTTTGTGTTTTATAAAGATCATTTTTAACATAGTGATAGGTATGGGTTAGATCACACATCTTTTTACTGGTAATTACAAAAACAATATTCACAGAGTTTTACGTTTAACAAGCTAATGTTCTGGCGGCATGGTACTTTGGTACATCAATACGCGTTTTTCTACATGTACTTAACAGATCAGTTCGGGGTGGGTTGGGCGGGGGGGGGGGGGGGGGGGGTTCAACTTCATTCACCACTGTCCGGTCACTTTAGGTAAATTATCAAACCCAGTGTATACCCAGGTGTGACATTAATGCCGCTCTACACAATTGTAGTGGTGAGGTGTGTGGGGGGGGGGGGGGGGGAGATAACCAACTCAGAGTGAACATAGCGTCAGTTTTTAGATGACTGTTCTTAACATACATATATACTACACAAATATATATTACACAAATATATATTACAGAAATAGATTTAAATAAGTACAAATATATATTACACAAATATATATTACAGAAATAGATTTAAATAAGTAGCAGTGGTATTATGACAATATTTTTTTTACAGAGGGTCCATGAGGGAGGGGGGTTGTAACTGTTTCATATAATTTGTAATCGTAATCACTATCGCCCAAACTGTAAGAATACTACTATTTCATTGTGATGACGCTTTTGAGCTTGTCAAAATTTCCCCACCACTACGCAGTTTGCTCATAAGTAAATGTAAATAGAGGTGCCACATCAGTTGTATTTGTTTCTGTATTGTAATTTTTTTTAAATTAATCACACGATTCAAACTGTATATATAAAGTAATTATGTGTGAAGTTTTATGCATAACATTTTCTAATTCAATTATTCGTAAGCAAATACATTATTCAGTTGCCTTAAACTTAACACCCCTCTTGCCAAGTAGTACTACCCGTAGAGGTTTTTTAAACATTGCAAAGCATCGTAATGGTTATTTTTAGAATGGCAAACTGATGCAGCTGTTAATACGTGTTGTAAACGTAGACACTGCTAGACTAGTACAATAATGCTTAATTGCTGCATGAAAAGAAATCTTGTGATTTACATAGATGTGCCGACCAAAAATATTTTTTTTAACAAATATAATTGTTTAAAACTTTGAGTTTAAAAAGTTTCCAAAAAGGCGCCACTTTGATGAAAATGGCCAGAGGGGGAGCGGCCGCTCCCCCTGCTCCCCCCCTGCGTACGCTACTGATCGTCTCCCTTGTTCCCCACTTTCTATTGATGATCTCCCTTGATACCAAATCTCCTCATATACCCCACGCCATCCCCATTCCTCACAAAGTGTTTCCACCCCTTTCCTTCCGCTTTGTCTTAGCAATTACCTCCCCTATTTTTCTTTGAAATTTTATATCCACCATTTCTTCCCCTCCATTGACATATTTTCTTTCAACTTTGCAATCAACCGAGTTCTCTCCATTTCAATCAAAAACCTTAGCAACCCAACCCCTTTTTGAACCCCACTCTCACCCGACCAACCCCACCCCAGGAAACAAGGGACACAACCCAGCAATCACATTTTCAGACCATCCCAGTAGACAGATGGTCAAATCGATTGTGTATTGGGCTAGTGATAGATAAAGATGTATGTGAATGGATAACTCTAAACTTTAGTGGGAAGGGATTGCAACATACAGTACTATAATGACGTCATTTGATATGGATACTATAAACTTTAGTGGGAGGGGCTTGCAACATACAGTACCCAAATGACGTCATTTGGTATGAATAATCTAAACTTTAGTGGGAGGGGATTGCAACATACAGTACCCAAATGACGTCATTTGATATGAATAATCTAAACTTTAGTGGGAGGGGCTTGCAACATACAGTACCCAAATGACGTCATTTGATATGAATAATCTAAACTTTAGTGGGAGGGGCTTGCAACATACAGTACCCAAATGACGTCATTTGATATGAATAATCTAAACTTTAGTGGGAGGGGCTTGCAACATACAGTACCCAAATGACGTCATTTGATATGAATAATCTAAACTTTAGTGGGAGGGGCTTGCAACATACAGTACCCAAATGACGTCATTTGATATGAATAATCTAAACTTTAGTGGGAGGGGCTTGCAACATACAGTACCCAAATGACGTCATTTGATATGAATAATCTAAACTTTAGTGGGAGGGGCTTGCAACATACAGTACCCAAATGACGTCATTTGATATAAATAAATAAAGAGGTATGTGAAAAGATAACTCTAAACCTTAGTGGGAAGGGCTTGCAAAATGCAGTACTCAAATGACGTCATTTTGACATGAACAGATCGTCGGCTTGAAAATCAATTTATCTAGAAATATTTTTTAAAGATTACCTTGTAATGGGATACGTCAGATCTAAATTAGGATAGACTTAAAACAAAACTTTTCTCCCCCCCCCCCCCCCCCCGTCGAGTTTTGATTATCTTCTTTTTTTATACCGTGTCGCTTTCAGATGTTTCACTGCATGGCGCCATCAAGCCAGAGAAACCCAATCAGTGATGAGGATAGTTTTTTTTTTAATTTTCTCTACCTCGTGGTCCAGTCACATGACTCCCGTAACTTGATCACCTCCTGGACATTGCGCTACTCAAGAAAAAAACGCCCAGCTCGCTAATTATGTCTGACATGACACGAGCCCACGTGGTCACGTGAGCGGTCATGTGACCAGCACATGGCGCAGACCGCCCTCTACTGGCAGATATTTTCCCCCAACGGCTTTCGAATTCCGGCAGCTAGGCCGTCTTTTCTTGATGTGAAATCAATAACACGGCCCCAGGCTCATGAAAACCTTCACCCCCACCCCCACCCCGACCCCTATTATAAATTTAATTCTTTTTATTTGATTCTAAAATTGCTGGAAATGTCTGGGGGAAAAAATAAAATTATTTTCAAATCAGTGTCTTTAAATTTCATTTTGAAAATAAGCTTTCGTAAATAACAATTTTCCCCACACAATGTTTATTAACAGTTATGCCCAGGAAAAATAAAAAATAAATCAGAACCTCATAAAATCAATACAAAATATCAAATTCATATATTTAAAATATTGAGTAATTTATTTTTTGTTTTTTTTTGTTTTGTACTTTAGTATTCTGAAACAGATATTCGATAGGCACGTTCGTATTTCAAATTTAACAGCGAAATAAAGGTCTGTGTACTGGACACATTTCTGTTTTTCTGGAAGAATATAAGTACAGTTGAAGTTTAAACAGACACATTGTGTACTATAGGAGGGCCTACAAGGAAGTTAAGAAGATATTTTTTTATCTTTTAGTGGCGGCAAAATACTTTTGTGTAGACCTAGCAGTAGCGTAGCGAGGGGGGGGGGACATATGTCCCCGGGCGCCGACCTTTGGGGGGCGCCAAAATGGGTTGGAAAAATAAATTAAAAGGTTGAGGGGGGTGCAAATCGAAAGTTTGAGGGGGGGGGGTGCAAATCGAAATCTTGAGGGGGGTGTGCAAATAGAAAGTTTGAGGGGGGGTGCAAATCGAAATCTTGAGGGGGGGGGGTGCAAATAGAAAGTTTGAGGGGGGGGTGCAAATCAAAATCTTGAGGGGGGTGGGGGGTGCAAATCGAAAAGTTTGTCCCCGGGCGCCGGGAAGGGTCGCTACGCCTCTGAGACCTAGTGTAGAAAAAAATTACTTTAACGTGAACGCACAATAATTGTTTTTACAAGCTTGTATTGAGCTTGCTTACTTTATCTTGTGTCGTGCTTCATCCATCATGGATCGAAGCTGGCTGTATAATATAGTGACCCGCACTTTTCTTTTTAGTTATTTACATAGTTCTTTATTATATATTTTAAAGAAAATAATTTATTTCCTCCTTTCTAGTGCTTTTATATATAAAAGCTTGTTATTAAAACGTTTTTATGCATTTTTTTAAAGTCACAGTTAGGGCAAATATTTGTTTTCCTACTTTACTGTAAGGGCAAATATTTGTTTTCTTTCTTTACTTTTATGGAAAATATTTGTTTTCTTTCTTTACTTTTATGGAAAATATGTGTTTTCTTTCTTTACTTTTATGGCAAATATTTGTTTTCTTTCTTTACTTTTATGGCAAATATTTGTTTTCTTTCTTTACTTTTATGGAAAATATTTGTTTTCTTTCTTTAGTTTAAGGGCAAATATTTGTTTTCTTTCTTTAGTTTAAGGGCAAATATTTGTTTTCTTTCTTTAGTTTAAGGGCAAATATTTGTTTTCTTTCTTTACTTTAAGGGCAACTATTTGTTTTCTTTCTTTAGTTTAAGGGCAACTATTTGTTTAGTGTGGTCCCTATGAGTGCAAACTATTTTTTTTCTATAGCCCTAGTGAGGGCAAAAGTCAATTTGTTCTTCTTCTAGCGAGGGCAAATATTTCTTTTCTTTACTTTGAGGGGAAATATTTTATTTACGAATTGTAAAGGCAAATATTTCTTTTTTCTAATCATTGTGAGGACTAATATTATTTTTATGCAAATATTGACATAAGCCATGCATTTAGTGGCCATCGACATCCATTTTTGAATCTACTTCTTGTATATTAAGTTGGCTGGTCGTAACAAAAATTAATTTAAAAAAAATAAAACTGGTTACTTATCACGAGCAGGGAAACAATTTAATGATTATCTGCCTAAAACAGCAAACTGTCTCATTTTTGTTCTAAAGCTCAACCTGAACTACTGATAAAATATTAACGTCAGAGCAAAAACTATGGATGAAATATAAAAGCCCTAGTATTTAACTATTAATGTATAAAAGCCCTCACATAAATCTATAGTTAAAATAGAAAAGCCCAAAGTACGGAACTATTGATGTATAAAAGCACGTATATAGTTAATTATATAGTTAATATTATAGTTAATTTATAGTTAAAATAAAAACAGCTCAATGCCCTTGTATGAATTATTGATGAAATATGAAAGCCCTGTTATGGAACTATTGATGTATGAAAGACATCACATAAATCTTTTGTTTAAAAAAGCCCAAAGCCCTAGTATACATTGTTGATGAAATATAAAAGCCCTATTATGGTCCTTTTGTTTAATATGAAAACTCATAGAGGAAACTATTGATGTGATATAAAAGGCCTAGCAGGGAACCGTTGATGAAGCATTAAAGCCCCCGTATGAAAATATTGATGGAACTCCGTGAAGAAACTCATCTTGGGGCAAACAGGACTAAACCAGTCCTGACAGTAACAAATAGAGTTTGTATTTGGTGTTTCAGGGGAGCGTGGTTGTTTCCCTTTACGAGAATTGGTTGCTAAAATTACATCACTACATTACATTTTTTTCAGAGCTGGTTTTAACCTGTAATCTTATGTTACAAGGTTCACCAGACCCGCAGACGAAAGAATGGAAATTTAAATTAGTTTTTTTTAGTGACTGTTATTTTTTTTTACGATGAAACTTTGGTAAACAGGATTTTCTTAATGAAAATGGGGGTGGGGGGGGGGGGGGGGTGGGGGGGGGGGTGTCGTCCATAAATGACGTTATACACCAAGACTATCTCCTTAGATAACTGGACCCAGCTGGTCAAGACTACAGTCTCAGACTGCCACAGACAACCCACTTTGACCTCACTAGACAAGAAGACCCGAATAGACTAATTACCCCACTAGACGACCCACCCTGACCTCACTAGATAAACGTCCCTATAAGCCAAAAGACCCTACTAGACAAAAGACCCCACTAGACAAAAGACCCCACTAGACAAAAGACCCCACTAGACAAAATACTCCACTAGACAAAAGACTCCAGTAGACAAAAGACCCCACTAGACAAAAAACCCCACTAGACAAAAGACCCTCCTAGACAAAAGACCCCACCAGAGACCCCCCCCCCCACTAGACGAGACCTACTTTGATCTGCAGCTCCTCGATTTGCCAGAAATCTAACTCACGCTTGACCACAGCCCCGCACACCTCCAGCGGTACGTGCAGCTCACCTGGGGAGAGGTAAACAACAGGGGTTAGGATTTGTGACACGAGATGTGTCCGTGTATGTGTCTATGTCTGTGTCCGTGTCTACATCTACGCCTACAATCAAGTCCATGTCCACGTCCTTTACTGGCATTTATAAACAGTCGCATAACTTTTTCGTATAGCAAAGTATAATTTCTGTATAATAGGTTATATATAAAATTATATATATACGAGCTGACCCATGCCGTAGCATACGCCGCTATTTAGTTGTTTTATTTTCTACTTTTCAGTAATTTATAATTTGTGAATTCGACAGTACCAATGCTGCCACTGAAAATATTTGCTTTAAAACACTAACCCCCTCCCTTTCCCATAACCCCTACCCTACCCCCCCCCCCCGTGAAAGCAGCCTCCTGTTAGTTACCTCTAGTAAGTTTAAACTCGTTTCAAACTAAATTATCTGCCCCTAATAGCCGTCACTAAACCCGGCTCTACGATTTGTAAACATTTAGCGTGAACCACAGCTCACCAGACCATGTGGGGGTGGGGTGGGGGTGGTAGTGATAGAGAGGAAGAGAGGGGACTGCAAGGCGCGCTTGCAGCTTGTTTTCTAACGTCTCCCAGAAGAGAATTACATATATTATATATATATATATTATATATATATATATATATATATATATATATATATATATATATATATATATATATATATATATATATATATATATATATATATAATATATATATATATATATATATATATATACCTGCAAAAACACACATTCATGTATAAGAATATATTAGATATAGAGAGGCGATAATAAAAGACCCAGTTCTCTCTAGTTCAAACAATAGGTGTTGTGCAAAAACAACCAACTTTTCATCGATGCATTGTTTTCTTTAAAGGCAGGATGCAGGTATTCATACATGAGTGACATGTCATGTTCATGTCAGTAGATGATACGCGGATGTCATTTGAATGACAGGTAAGCTTTGAAAAAAAACAACAAAAAAAAAAAACAACGAATCTTGGATATATTTTTATATGGAACTAATTTGAACAATCGCGTGATGAATATTTTTTTTTATACCATTACTGAGAGAGTAGGGACGGAGTGGCCAAATTGTAGAGCACTATACTGGCTAGAAAGTCTCGAGTTCGAATCTGGATTCAAGTCAGTAGAACGTCCATGAGTCCCACCAGATGGGTACCTAACTCACATTAGAATAAAGGCGGCTGGGTATAGTGCTGACCACACTATCCCTTCATATCCCGAGGTCACTGAAACAGCTGTAGGCCTACTCTACCCCGTGTGTCCTGGGCAAAAAACGGGAAAAAAAGATGATAAATGAGAGAATGCACCAATTTAAATATTGGGGTATGTTTAAGCCGAAGCTTTGAAATAAAATAGCCTATCATTGTGTGTTGATTCAATGAAGAGCCACGAAGTTTAATTAAATGAAAATAATCGTGTCATTCGATACCGCGAATAGCGTTATCTATTCAGTTACAGATGATCATTATATATCCCGCTTTATCGTGAGTACACAAACACGCTTGACCTAATGTACGTGCACGTATAAAGACGGTGAAGGAAATAATAACTGCCATCATAGACAATATTGACAGTGCCTGTATGTCTGGTCTGTGGGATGGGAGGAGGGGGGGGGGGAAGGATACGTAGAGATAATAACTTATGTAATACGGAGGTTCTTTGCAACTTAAGGATAATCGTGAGAAAATTGTGAGGGGATTGTGGGGGGGGGGGGGACGTCTGGAAGGTTGTGAGGGAACTGTGCGGGAATGTGTGGTAGGGCGGTTCTAGAATGTTCAGAGACAAACGAGGGGTGAATGGAGGAAATCGATCGTCTGCAATCGTCCAGCAGACGTCAACGGAACTGCAGACGCCGTGTAAGGAGCAGCCGACTGGTTAGATTGTGCACTTTAAATCAGTTGATGGATGATTGCAGTTTGATGCAGGTTTTTTTTTTAGTTAATGGACAATTGGGTAGGTGATGGACAAATACGGTTTAATGTACATTTTTGATAGACAAACGAGGTTTGATGCAATCTTTAATAAAGTTGATGGATATTTGCGTGGGCGATGGATGGAGAAATGCAGCTTGGTGACAAGTTTTAGTTTGATGTAGATTTACAAATTTTGCGGCTGTGGTTGATGGAGGGAGAATGTATTTTGTTGACATTTTTGTTTGTTGTTATGATTTCGGTGATGGGCAGTTGCATTTACTGGCACAGACAGAAACACAGACAAAAACCACAGACAAAACCACAAACAAAACTACAGACAAAACCACAGACAAAATCGCAGACAAAACCAAAATCAAAACCGCAAGCTTATACAAAACCACAGAAAAACCACAAAAAAACCAAAGACAAAACCAAAGACGAAATCAAAGACAAAACCACAGACAAAACCACAGAAAAAACCACAGACAAAACCAAAGACACAACCACATTCACGGCCAAAACCAAAGACAAAACCACAGAAAAAAAAACAAAGGCTCGGACAAAACAAGTCACATGCAGCCCTGCTGACACCCACGTAGAGACAAGAACAAACGAACACACAGACAACACAACTTTCAGATCGACAGCCTTCATCAGCAGCGATTGATCGTCCACAAGCCGGAATGGCGCCAAATTTGAATTTTGCTGAGCCAGGGATTTGTCAGCTTGTTAGCAACGTGAAGTCGTTTGGAGAATTGCCAAAATTAAGTCAGGGTGATGTCAGTCAATAGGAAACGTGTGAAAAATGTCTGTATCTAAGTCTGCTGTCAGCTAGCTGTAAACTTACATAGAATGTCTGTATCTAAGTCTGCTGTAAGCTAGATGTAAACTTACATAGAATGTCTGTATCTAAGTCTGGATGCTGTTAGCTAGATGTAAACTTACATAGAATGTCTGTATCTAAGTCTACTGTCAGCTAGATGTAAACTTTCATAGAATGTCTGTATCTAAGTCTGCTGTCAGCTAGATGTAAACTTACATAGAATGTCTGTATCTAATTCTGCTGTCAGCTAGTTGTAAACTTACATAGAATGTCTGTATCTAAGTCTGGGTTCTGTCAGATAGTTGTAAACTTACATAGAATGTCTGTATCTAAGTCTGGGTTCTGTCAGATAGTTGTAAACTTACATAGAATGCCTGTATCTAAGTCTGATGTCAGCTAGCTGTAAACTTACATAGAATGTCTGTATCTAAGTCTGCTGTCAGCTAGCTGTAAACTTACATACATAGAATGTCTGTATCTAAGCTTTGGGTCAAGCTGAATATCGAGCCAATCAATTACGTGTAATCGATTTCTGTGTCGCATCAGATTTATATAATGAATAGGGCTATCGATTACAGAATATCGTATATAGGGGGACAGTGCGGCACAAAATACAGATTGCCAAAAACGATTAAAAAAATTTGTGCGCGCCAAATTTTGGCAACTGAAAATTGTCTTGAAACTGTTACAGCATTCTAACAAAATATCATTAAATGTGGCGCTCGCTATAATATCCCCCTCCCGACAGGTTACATATGCCGTATTATCTTGCTGTCAGTTTTATAAGACTAAGCAATACAGAATGTGTGCTGGTTGAATTCCAAATGAGTTCATTTGACGGCGTGAATGATGGTGTAGAGAGGACATATTTCAAACTCACGATTTACACATACACCAACATGTTCACACATACACACACACAGTTTTCTTTTTTTTTTAAATAGAAAAAAATAGATGGGTTAGGCCTGTAAATAAAGTTCGTCTTTAGACAGAGTGATCCATTGGGCAGATGAAGTAGATGAGTTTTCCCTGGAGGTAATAGTCTATGGAAGCAACCCCGCATCGGCCTCACAATATGAACACTTATTTTATAGGTTGTTTGCGTTTGGGTGTTTTGGTGCGAAATTTTGAAGCATGTTTGTCTCGATAGTAATTTTGCAGATGCGGCAGTTTAAAGCTAAGTGTTTTTTAACCAAGTGGTTTGCCCATGGTCCGAAGAATAAAATGGAGCAGAGTAGACAATAGTTGAGTCGATTAGGGTCCTCACTCAGTGTTTTAGACGGGGTGGTGGCTGCTGTCTCCTGCATTAACTTGAGCTGTCTTTCATGTTTTCAATGGGTCTGTGCTGTCATTCTACCTCTAGGTTGTTGTTGTTGATATTGTTGTTTTATCCATGTTTGTTGTTGTGTGATTTGAGGGCCGGGGGTTTCTTTCTGTGATGTTGGGTATCTCGGCAGTTTCTGTAACCGTGTTTGTTACTCGCTGTAGTGCTGGTGCGTCATGGTCAGTTGTTGGCGTCGTCATGACCGGGTATTGAGGATGGGAGATGGCTGGCTGTATTGTGATCCCTGTTGCTATTGGCGTTGTTGTGGCGTCTTCAGCTGGTTGTAGCGCGGGTGTTGTCGGAAAGATAGGTTTACATATGATTACTAGCAGTGGTTTGTCATGTGTTGTATGGATGCGCAGTATCAACACGCTTATTTTCTGCCTGGGATGGATATGTGTATGTCGATGCGTTCGTCCATCAATGTGATGTAGTGTGGTACGGTGACGCCGAATGCATCTGAGTCGCAAATGATTATGGGACTCTAAAGCAAGGGGGTACTTTGCGGTCGATAGTGACTTATTTAGAGCGGGACTGTTCACGCTGGACAACTCTAGGTTGAAGTAGATGAAAGGTGGGGGGGGGGGGGGGGGCTTGCTTTCACTTAGCTCCTCCCCACATCTATATATATATAGTTCTCTTCTGGGAGCCGCTAGAAAACAAGCTGCAAACGCGCTCCCTACCTCCCCACCCCTACATGGTTTTAGTGAGCTGTGTTCACTCTAAATGTTGACAAGCAGAGCCAACGATTTTAAACGTAGGGGGGGGGGAGGAGGAAGGGGGGGGGGGTTATGGTCCTTAACGAGCTACTTATAGTGTTTTAAAGAAATATTTACAGTGGCAGCGTTGGTACTGTCGAATTCACAAATTATGAATTACTGAAAAGTAGAAAAAACAACAACTA